TAGAGTTGGAAGGGACCATAGAGATCATCTAGTCCAACTCCCCTGCTGAAGCAGGATTGCCCAGAGCTAGAGCATGTTACTCAGGAGCATCCAGGCGGGTCTTGAAAATCTCCAAGGAAGGGGACTCCACACCCCCCCTGGGCAGCCTGTTCCAGGGCTCTGTCACCCTCACCGTGAAGAAGTTTCTCCTCATATTTGAGTGGAACCTCTTATGTTCCAACTTGTGCCCGTTGCCCCTCGTCCTCTCACTGGGAACCACTGAAAAGAGTCTGGCTCCCTCCTCCTTCAACCCTCCCTTGAGATACTTGTAGGCATTGATAAGGTCTCCCCTCAGCCTTCTCTTCTCCAGACTAAAGAGTCCCAGCTCTCTCAGTCTCTCCTCATAAGGGAGATGCTCCAATCCTTGAATCATCTTTGTTGCCCTTCGCTGGACTCTTTCTAGTAGTTCCCTGCCCCTCTTGAACTGGGGAGCCAGTTTTGCCTGGGCTTTAATTTACCACCTAGTGATATTTTCACATTTCTAGATGTTAATTTTGCCCTCAGGAGTACATCAGAGTGCTGCTCTGGGGTTGGCAGAGAACTTGATAATTACTATAACATCATTAAACCTGCACATTTAACTTCATGTGCATTAAATCCCCTGGAACCAGGGACTATCTTTCTGTGGGAAGTGCCCTGGTACAGAGTATTTTTTGCAGGAAGCAGGTGACAGCCTGAGCAGTGGGTTGTGCCGAACCAGTGCTTTACACCCCTGTGGGTATTTCCTTCAACATCCATGGACAGCGTGACGTTGCTGCCCTGTGTGTGTTGTGTTCATTGATTGAGCTGATAACGAGGCAGAAGAAATTAATAAAGAGGTGTTGGGAGAAAGAGAGACGCAGCAAACAAGTGTACAAACGAGCTTCCATGCTCGAGCGGAGATTCAAGCCCATCCCGGGATGCCACCAGGACATTCCTAATTAGATCAATAAGTTTTATGACATCCCACAGGGAATCTGGAAAAACAAGCATTGGAGACACGAAGTCCCCCCCCCAAGTTCTTCCAGGTTTACCTGCATCTCCTCCGGACAACGCAGCGGTGCTTTTGCTTCGGGCCAGGAAGGAGTGCGTGGGCGTCAGGAGCCTGCTAACGATGCTGCTCTCCCAGGGGCTGAGCTGCAGGCGGCGAGCTGGACGTGCACCACAACAAGCAAGATGTTAGAAAGCTTCACAAAAAACTGCACGTTGCAGAAGCATTAGTATCCCTGCCTCCCTATCCAAGAAAATATTGGCAGTGTCCTTCAGAGATCAAAACCGTACCGTCAATCAGTGCTGTGCGTTTAATTCTCACTCCGTTTTAGTAGAGGGATTCCTAAAGGAACACACACATCTGAACATCTAATTTGTGTGACTGCCTGTGGCATTGTGGCAAATTATTATCAAATTAACATGATATTTTGCACATATGCCACACCCCTTAGTAGGAACAATAGGATAACTTCTGTACTGAGAGCGCAGCCCCCACTCCTGAATACAGACTTTGGCGGAGATGTTTGTGTCCAGGACTCTTTCTATACATATAGTTTTCTAGTTACAAAAAAGACCAATTACTAAAACACCTTCCATAGTCTGCCAGGCTAGTTAGAAAAAAAAAACCCAAAGGTTGCTATACAGAGAACTGGGCCAAAGAAAGAGGTTTTGTCAAAGCATCTCAAAAGAACACGTCTTGGTTGCAGTCGTCTCAGTCACAGGTGAAGCCATAGAATACACTAAGTACATTTCATCATTGATTCTGTCAAAAATCCTACTAATGATGATTTTTCTATTTAGAACAGTAACAAGAGCCAACTTTTTGCACCATGAGTCTGTGTTGAAAACACACTACACGTTGACCTGGCTGCAATCACTCCCTTGCCTTGCTTTTTCCAATATTTTCTAATGCAGATTTAGCTTGTCCTTTTGCTTTGCAAAATTTCACTACACATTGCCCTGGCTGCAACCACTCCCTTGCCTTGCTTTTCCCAATATTGCCTAATGCAAATTTAGCTTGTCCTTTTGCTTTGCAAAATTTCTTTACTTTTGGAAAAAATACTATTTAAACATTGATCATAGCAAATTAGTAACCAAAAGAGCTCTCTAAGTTATTTTTTACATTAAACTAGATGTTTCTTTGATACTCTGATGCAATAAATTGTGTTATAACGAGCGTCACAAAATCAAAACATTCAACTAGTTCCCATAGTAGTTCATTATAATAAATTTAGAGCACAGCAATAATCTTGATGCTGCAAGTGAGATCAGGACTTCTTACATCTCAGCATTCATTGGCCTTAGTTTGGTGATTACAGCAGCAAAACTACAGCCTGAATTTACGAGGCTCAGTCTCTAAAACAACCACTAAAGTCCCTGGCTGCAATAAACCTGAGATTAATTTGCATTTTTAAAGGTAGAGATCCATCACTTTTAATAGCCATAAACTCTGAATCTGTCTTTAATCTACTCCATGCTGAGCCCCGTGAAAAGAGGGGCCAGTCTCAATCTCATCCTATGAAGGTATAATTGCCTAATCCGCCCTCGGTGCTGTTTTTCACTTCTCAAATTGCTCCCCTAAATCCCCCTAACTCAATAAGGGGCATTACTATAGAAATATAGGACCCTCAGACACAGCAGGCTCTCTGGGTAAGTGTCCTCACACAATGTACTGCTGCCAGAGCTCTTTGTGATTAATGCTTCCATTCTGCATCGGTACAGAATATAGAGAGACACAAAACACCCTACAGAGACTCCCATTACAGCGCACACATCATCGTTAAGCTTGTAATTTAACAATGAAGAAAAAAAAAAAGGAATCACAGAACTACCATTAAACTGGATGCAATAATGGTAAAAATCTTTGCTTCCTTTCTTCTCCAGGCACCGTGCTCAGTGTGGTCACCGTTTAAAGCTCCTGTTGCAAGACAACAGGTCCTTTTTTTGTGGTCTCGTGTTTTACCACAGAATCACAGAATCTTCTAGGTTGGAAGGGACCTCAAAGATCATCTTCTCCAGATGAGAGTCATGGGCACGAGAGTCTTCTCTCATAGTTTAACACAAAGACCATATGGCTTCAGAAAGCAATCCCTGAAATGGGATTGGAATGGGCTGCCCAGGGAAGTGGTTGAGGCACCATCCCTGGAGGTATTTAAAAGACACAGAGCTTAGTGACATGGGTTAGTGATCTTTTTTTATCAGAGTCAGGTTGACGGTCGGACTAGATGATCTTAAAGGTCCCTTCCAACCTAGACCATTCTAGGATTCTATAAAATTTTAGGCCAATAAATCATAGAATCATAGAATGGTCTAGGTTGGAAACATCATCGTTAAGCTTGTAATTTAACAATGAAGAAAAAAAAAAGGAATCACAGAACTACCATTAAACTGGATGCAATAATGGTAAAAATCTTTGCTTCCTTTCTTCTCCAGGCACCGTGCTCAGTGTGGTCACCGTTTAAAGCTCCTGTTGCAAGACAACAGGTCCTTTTTTTGTGGTCTCGTGTTTTACCACAGAATCACAGAATCTTCTAGGTTGGAAGGGACCTCAAAGATCATCTTCTCCAGGTGAGAGTCATGGGCACGAGAGTCTTCTCTCATAGTTTAACACAAAGACCATATGGCTTCAGAAAGCAATCCCTGAAATGGGATTGGAATGGGCTGCCCAGGGAAGTGGTTGAGGCACCATCCCTGGAGGTATTTAAAAGACACAGAGCTTAGTGATATGGGTTAGTGATCTTTTTTTATCAGAGTCAGGTTGACGGTCGGACTAGATGATCTTAAAGGTCCCTTCCAACCTAGACCATTCTAGGATTCTATAAAATTTTAGGCCAATAAATCATAGAATCATAGAATGGTCTAGGTTGGAAGAGACCCTTGGGATCATCGAGTCCAACCATCTACCCTACTCTACAAAGTCCTCCCCTTCACCATGTCCCTTAGCACTGCATCTAAACGGCCCTTAAACACAGCCAGGGATGAGTGCTATGTACACTCTTAAGTTTCCTGGAGTTCCATCTGTCCAGCTGCAGCCACTGGTAAGAAAATGTCACTATGGAATATGGCCCTGGGGGAACAGCTGCAGACCTGACACGCAAGGCCCCAGAGATGAAGCAGTCTCAAGAGGACCCAGGTAAGAGACCGATGCCTTAAAACACCCAGCTGCAGCCACTAGTAAGAAAATGTCACTATGGAATATGGCCCTGGGGGAACAGCTGCAGACCTGACACGCAAGGCCCCAGAGATGAAGCAGTCTCAAGAGGACCCAGGTAAGAGACCGATGACTTAAAACACTAAATTGCCACATCTCACCTGTCCCCTGTCATTTGCCCTAAAGCTGAGTATGGGTTAATATTCTGATTTTTTCCTACATCCCCATCGCCTGCTGGAAGTGACTGTGTGCCCACAGCACCCAGATCAGAGCAACGTTTGGGAGAAAATGAGTTGAGAGACACCAAAAGGGAAATAAAAGACACCAACAAAACCTCCTCCTCCATATAAGCAACAGGCCTGACTCAAAGGTGTAAGATAATTTTTAGCCAGGAGCTTGGAGTGAAGTCTCCCTAAATCTCTAAAATGGGTTCAGGTCAGAGTTCATTTAAATACACCTCGGCTGTAGGTGAGCCTACATGATGATCAGCCTTGAAGATCAAGGTCATCACATACTGAATTTTCCACATGCACTGTATTTGACACTTTGGACACATATTTTAACAGCATCACCATTAACCCAGAGCCTCCAAATAAGCTTCTGCCCACCAAGCTCCAAGTAGGAGAGCATTAACACCTAAATGCTTTGAACGACTTAACTTTGGTGTCCAGTTCACACCGAGGCAAAACAAAGAGCATCAGAAAATAATAAGATTGACTTTAAAACGATGAGGTCAATTCTTTTTCTTTCTGTTTTTAGTGCCTTAGGGTGATGTTTTCAAGATGTAGATCTTCAGACCATCTGACAGATAAAGGGAAATGATATTTTTTTGTTCTCATGCTGTGTCAGGCTATTGTTCTTAGGGCTGTTTGCTCTTTGTTTCCATGCAGGAAACACGTTTGTGATAGGGTTGTGGGTGCAAGTACCCCTACCCCAGCTACAAGCAGGTTGGTTTAAACAGATTAAAGACCTTTATGGCCTGACTTGTCCCAGGGAGCTGGCAAGAGTGAATTGAATCACCTCTATTTGTCTACAGGATAGATAAAATGAACACTAGGAAGTTGTCTGAGCAGCAGCAGAATAAATTGCAGAAGTAAGCAAACAGCAGCATCTGATTAGTTCTAGGGACAGATGGGAGGCAGGGATTTAACGGGTCTCCTGATGAGCACCCCGAGGGAGACTCTCACTGGTAGCAGCGGTGGCTGCTCATACAGAGCCACAGACACGGCGAGGAGTAGGTGGGGAAAAAACTACTCCATGCTTAGATTCTCCTTCAACAGGAACCAATACTGGAGTCCATAAATTTCTTCTATGAAGGTGCCAGAGAAAGATGATGCAGTGATGGAGAACATCACCTGTTTGCAAGAAAAAGCACTGTAGAGAGGAGGAGGAACACAGCTAAGAAAGTGATCTAAGATCTAAATACCTGATCTAAGGTATTCTCCACTTGCTAAGCTTTCCTAAAAGAGCACAATTACCAAAATTCATTGGTCAACAGCAGCTTTCTCCACCTGAATATGTGTGCTCACGGCTTGTCACAGTTTCAACTACTCAGCTCTGTACCACTAACATAAAAGCCTAAGAATCACAGAATCTTCATGGTTGGAAGGAAGCTTTGAGATCATCAAGTCCAACCACAAAAAAAGCCAAACAAAACAAAACAAAACAAAACCCACCACACCAAAAAAACCCCACAAACAGACAGAAACCAACAATCTTGGGCACGAGAGCATGCCCTGAAGTGCCATGTCTACATGTTTCTTAAATACCTCCAGGGATGGTGACTCCACCACCTCCCTGGGCAGGCTGTTCCAGTGCCTGACCACTCTCTCAGTAAAGTAATTCTTCCTAATATCTAATCTAAACCTCCCCTGCCCCAACTTGAGACCATTTCCTCTGGGCCTGTCGTTATTCCTTTGGGAGAACAGGCCACCACCCACCTCTCTACAACCTCCTTTCAGGTAGTTGTAGAGGGCAATGAGGTCTCCCCTCAGCCTCCTCTTCTCCAAACTAAACATGCCCATTTCTCTCAGCCTCTCCTCATGTGACTTGTTCTCTAAGGAGGTGCCTGTTCTGGCTGCCCAACTCTTAAATTGTGATGAAGAGCTACATTGGAGCAGGAGTTCACCACTATTTTAGGTGATTAGTGAATGAAAACTTTTGCTGGGCCGAAAAAATAAATAAATCCTGTCCTTCAAATGGCAAAAAAGGTGCTGCTTAACGGAAGACGTGTTCTTTATGACAGCGATAAGCCCCTTAGGGTAAGCTTATCATCCTCATCTCCAGGGCTTGCAGGCAGGAGTAGGCACCGCGGAGGAAGCGTGACTGGGTGCCCTCTGGAAGGTGAAACGGGGAGCAGACAGCCCGAGCCTTCCTTTAAGAGCTTGCCTTAAGATGTTGAGGCCACCGGAGGGACAGGTGGCACTTCTCCAGGTACAGGCTCACCTCGATTTAGGTCTATGACTTTGCAGGAGAAAGCATTTATAGAGTTGGGATTTGGTTTCTGTCTTGGGAGTCTGTGAAAGACCCGAGAGACTTCCAACTCCTCCTGTGCTGCTTTAATGAAAATGCCAAGCAAGGAATGTCCCAACATTTAACGTTTTTGACACGTGGCCATCACCTTTCCCCACTGCCAGGCTGCCTGGCATTCAGTCTGACTTCTCCTGAATTTGAAATGGGTGGCAGAAACCATCACACAGTGAGTTACAGTCCTTAATAGACCATCCTTCATATTTAATGCCTCCTGCTGTTTCCCTCCTTAACCCCCGCCCCCAAGATCCTTCCCTCAAAGCAGCATCCCCTGGCAAAGCATAGCAATTGTCTGAAAAAAATATATATATCTACACCTGAAAAGCTAACAAAATTAAAACTGAATAGTTTTCTGTATTTCATAGAATCATAGAATCGTCTAGGTTGGAAGAGACCCTTGGGATCATCGCGTCCAACCATCTCCCCTACTCTACAAAGTCCTCCCCTTCACCATGTCCCTTAGCTCTGCATCTAAATGGCCAGGGATGGTGATTTTTTGCAAGTTCCCAGACTCTACAATGAGGTTTGCCCACTGGGATTAACATGGCTCGTCAAACCAACCAGATACAAATGTACAAACATGCACATAAAACATGGAACTTTGTTAAGACACACAAATAATGACATCTGATGATCAGTTCTGCAACACATTCAAATTTCCATTCTAAAAAATTGGTTTTGAAAACATGCATTTCTCCGGACTGAAATAGGACAGAGCTTCTCATTCTCAGCAGAGGACAAAAAAATCCCTACCAAGTACTTTTCCGTAAAGCTCTTTGCACAAGTTATACAAGAGACATTCTTTTATAAAAACTCCTTTAAGCTCAATGCTTCAATCTTATAAATCCTCGGAACAGAGGCAGCAATTCAGCCGAAATTCATTTCTAAAGGATTGATTGTTTATCATTTGTGCAGAGCTACAAACATCACAAACACACACCGAAATCAAGCAATTTTTGAAAAGGAGCTGGACACGAAAAGTCAATAAACAGACCACATGAAAAACATCCATAACTCTTCAATAAAAAATTATCAGAATTAATAAAGTAAAATAATTGCTTGAAAGCTTCATGCAACACGTTCTTAGGTATTCAAGAATTACTACCAGTGAAGGAAGGAAAACAAAATCATGACAGAATGGCCTGATGCAAATCAAAAGGTCACACGTGATTGCATGCACTGTGGAGCGATGTACTCTTTTCAATCGTCGTACCTCATTTACTAAAAACCTGACAGAAGCACTGATTTTCTCATTTGCTAAAGTGAGATTGTTTAGGTAGGTTCTCTTGTTGTTGTTGTTTTTTTTTTTTAAAAAAAAAAAAAACACCAAGAAATATATATTTATTCTCACAGGAAAAAATGTTCAACCATTTACTTTTCACATTTGAAGCCTTTTCACTCCCACTTACGATGAAGTACAGAAAACGACTTCAGAAGCATGTTTTATGTGCAAAGTAATACATCAACACAGAACATTCTTTCTTGCTCTTTTTTAAAATTTTTCTTTTTTTTTTTTTTTTTAAAATTATTTTTCTCTTTCAAACTGTACCTCTGTCTGGAGAATTTAGTAATGTTGCAGATGAGGAGGAGAGCCGCTTGTTAATGACTGGATCAACATGTTTCGAAAGGTTCATTGTTGAAACAGATCGCCTGTCTGGATCTAAAACAAATGGAGATAATGCTAATTGACAGCCCAACATGCAGTAGTGCCAGTTCCTAGCTCGCTAGCGGGAGGAGGAAAACATGACTAAGTCACTCCTGGCTCTACCACAAGAACTTTCCAAATAGAACGGACTTCTCAGCAGACTTTGTACAGGTGACTCAAAGACTGGGCACAAAACCACTTCAATTTCAGTTTCAAACGTCTAAAATATTCTGTTTGTGGATTGCCATTCAATCAGGTTGTAATCCAAGGACCTCCTGGAGGATCTAAAGTGGATACGATTAGATAAGATGATAATTCCTCGTTCCTTTCAACATTCTCAGAAAAACCTTGCTCGTGACTGAGAATAGAAAGCTTCAGGGAAGGACCAACACGCTTGGAAATGTCAGGTTAGTCATAAAAACACCCCTTTTGCACCTGAATAAAAGGTGACATTTGCACTTTTACTAGTCAAAAAGGTCAATATCATGACACTACAACGTTGCAAGCTTATGGGAAGACTAGCGCGTGAGGGAAGGGAGGGTAATCATAGAATCATAGAATGGTTTGGGTTGGAAGGGACCTCAAAGATCATCGAGTTCCAACCCCCTGCCCTGGGCAGGGACACCTCCCACCAGACCAGGTTGCTCAAGACCCCATCCAGCCTGGCCTTGAACCCCATCCAGGGATGGGGCATCCACAACTTCCCTGGGCAACCTGTTCCAGTGTCTCACCACCCTCATAGTAAAAAATTTCTTCCTGAGTAAAAAATTTCTTCCTGAAAGCACAAAAGGAATTAAAAGATGGAGTTAAAAAAAACTGTAGTTATATGTAAGTGATAAATTTCCCACCGGAGAGGCATTTTCTCCCTGCTGGGAAGGAAGTTGTCATCAGTTAATCCAAAGCTTCCCAGAGAAAGAAAATGAGTCTCCGTGGAAGAGCAGAGCCCACGTGTAACGCACGTGCTTGGTGTGTAACACTGAAGGGCTCTCTTTTTCTTTTAGGTTCTGTGCATTTTAGAGCAATTTTGCACCATTTGCCCGTGCAACCACTACGTGTATCAGCTCCATCTCCTCCAGATCTATGAACTGTAACCGGTTGGGGCAAAGAAAGATTCTCTCCTACCCCATGTGGTTATTTGCTCACTTGGTCTAATGGTAGGGTGACCCAGTGAGGGCACAGAACCAGCAAACTGGGTACTGGAAGGGGGATAAAACTCAGAAAAGGGTTTTAAAAGGAGAAATCTAAATGTTATAGCTGAGAACAAAAGCTCTGTAGGCTGGGGAGATTATCCCCCATTGATATTGAAGAGTCTCAGTACTGGAGACAGGATGCTTGGGATTCGTGTGTCACAGATCCTTGTCAGACCAATATTGCTGGGAATGGGATGGGGATTTTGATCTCTTGTATCTAATCTGTAGCTGAGAAAATGTATAGTATAAAAAAGTTTCCTACATTTGGCATAAAGGATGTATTGGCTAGAAGAAGATGGATTTCTTTCGGGTCTATAAACATTACTTAAATGAATGAAATTTAGCACGGCAATAGGAATCCTGTAAATGTAGAACAGCCCAAACACAATCCATTGCCTGGAAGGATTGCTGGTTTCTCTCTTCTAAAAACAGAATTAAAATATCCACGAGCAGCACGTCACCCAAGGCAGCTGGTAATTTAGCACGGCAATAGGAATCCTGTAAATGTAGAACAGCCCAAACACAATCCATTGCCCAGAAGGATTGCTGGTTTCTCTGCTCTAAAAACAAAATTAAAATATCCACGAGCAGCACGTCACCCAAGGCAGCTGGTTCTATGTCTGTGTTCATGTGTAAAATAATTGCACGTCCTGTGTATATGTTGTATGCCAAAAGGGTTTTAGAAAAAACCAAAATATTCGAATTGGGTCTCCCCGAATTTCAGTAGACAAAATATTCTGCTTCATTTCAGTGAATTGTGCCAAATCTTTAGAGTCAGCCAGTAGTAACTCTCCATAGTAAAATTAAATAATAATGAAAAAAATCTGGTACTACCAACAGTTCTAATCTATGGGCACGATGTTAAGCATGCATTGCGACTACGTGAGGGTGGTTTAGTTACTGATGATCTCATTTCCTGAGAACTAGCTAGGGGTAAAGGAATCAACAAACCACAGCAATTATGTACCAGGTTTTCTAGCACCACCCAGAGAGCTGAAGTGGTGCTCCAGGCCTGCTAAATCGAGAAAGGTGAATGATGATTCAAAAAAATAACCTAGGGACAGAATGCAAGACAATGATTTTTTTTTTTTTTTTTCCACAGGAAAGAAAATAGAAATCAAATAAGTCACACAGAGTTAAGCAAAGAAAAAGTAACCTTTTATGAAAAATAACTGTTTGTTGAATTTATATATGACAAAGATTTCAGAGCATTCTTATCTCTTTTTCTCTTTTTTTTTCCTCCTTGATGAAAGATTGGGCACATTGAAATGTACACATTAGAGCAGGAAGAGAAGAATTCTAAGCACTGCTTGCTGGTGAAAGAAATAAAGGGTAAGTCCTCTTTTTTTGGGTTAGAGTCATATTTAACAGGGCATATACACATTAACAATTGGCAGGTTAAGTTAGAGAACATAACTGGGGAAAAAGCGCCTAGAGCTAAAATTCACTTCAACTTAAAAAAACCTTAAAGATGGGTGAATTAAGGGGGAAAAAAAGGGACTTCCATCTCCCAAAATATCTGTACAAGGTCTAGATGGCTTATTACAAAGAACATTTTTTTCTTCCTTGCGTCTGTTTTAATCTCAATATTTGGTCGTTTCCACCAGAGCTATTTTTCTAGCCACAGCCCTTAGCATTTGTGCATAGATGGCTTATTACAAAAAACAAATTTTTCTTCCTTGTGTCTGTTTTAATCTTAATATTTGGTCGTTTCCACCAGAGCTATTTTTCTAGCCACAGCCCTTAGCATTTGTGCACAGCAGCTGGTACCACAAGCTTGACAGGGCACAAGCACACCCACAAATACACACATGAACAACAGCAAAGCAGCAGAAGCGAGAAGCTGTAGCAAGATAGAGAGTTAAGCCAACTCCTGAAACAAGTTTTAACTTTCAGGTCAGATTTCTTCTTGTTATCTGTCAGAATAAGAATGTCAGAAAGGCGCCGTCGCTAGCAAAAATAAGATGAAGAGCAAAGAATGTAAACCAGGGTACAATGAATCATCCTTCCTTTTAAGAGAAGCAGAGTAAATTCCAGTGAAGTGGCAGGGCAGGGAAACTGGTTGGCAAACCCAGCCTCCCTCGTTACCTGTGTTATTAATGCGGTTTTGTAGCGCTCCTCCCCAGGACCACCTGTTTTGCTTTTGTTTTGGCTTCTGGCTTCTTTCAATTGTGCGACGTACAACAGCTTCATGTCGTTCCTTAAGGACAACAGGACAACACAATTGGGATGCTGTCGGGTTTTTAAACTTCATCTTCTCATCCAACCCTGCCATCCTTCACGCGGACAAAGCCTAGCAGGCAATCTGGGAGTTGTGGTCAAGCTTATCTACTGCTCAGACACACTCTCAGATGAAGCATCCTAACTCTAGAATGGGATTAGCCAGAAATTAAGCCATAAATAAATTAATATGTATTTATTAAATAAAGTTAACCGTAATTTTGAAAAGGTAAGATCTGTTTGAGACCTGAAGAATAAAAAAAAACACAGGATCCCACTGCACGTAGTTCCCAGCTCAACTGAGAAAATTAAGCCAAGAACATATTTCATTACACACTTGCTTAAATGTTTTGTTAGGGCAACTACTATTTAGCTACCCTTATACTGTGTGGCTGAGAATTAACAGATAAGCACACAAAACCAACCCAATTTGTATTTTTCTGCATGAGTTTGTGCAGTGCCATATACTCTAATCCAGACACGCTCAACTTTGTTGTGTTTGATTCATAAAGGGCATTTTAGAAGCAGCATCTGGGCAATTAAGGCTTAAACCCCTCTTTGGCACACTCTCTCCTGATGACCATGGCTTATGTTGCGTTCTTTGCAACAACTTTTAAAGAAGCAGTTTGATAGTAGTGTATCTTATGGTAAAAGCAAGCTGAAAAGTGTTTTCATGACATTCATTCCTACCTTATCTTCTTCTAGTCTCTGCCTTCGCTTTTCCTCTACGGCAGCTCTCCTCCTCTCTTCCTTTAATCTCTGCTCTTCCAGCTTCTTCCTCCGCTCCTCGAGGTGTTTTTCATAATGTTGCCGGGCTCTCTCTTCTCTTTCTAACCAGACTGTTTCTCTTGCAGCTGTGAGAAGAACCAGAGATAAAAGTATTAACGTGCTACGTGTGATGAAGTCTTTAATACAATCTGAATAACCAACTAAATGGAAAAAAATCTGAACTCATTTTCCTAAGACACATGTAATATCCTAACCTCTCTTCACATATTAAAACATTGTGTACCCTGCTCACACATTCATTTCATTTCAATTTACTTACTATGAATTATTACCAGAAATAGTTATTTAAGCATATAGTATCTATGTGGAAGAAAGGATTTTTTTGTTAGCTTGAAATACCTAAATAGCGAAGTCAGATACATGCAACCACACTTCTGTTGTACAAACCGTGATAATTCTCTGCAATCTTTTACTGTAAGAAGAAAAATAAAACTATTAGCACTACATACCTTTACTGATCAATACATATCTCTTATGATAGAAGTAGCTGGGATGACACCTGGACCATTAGTTGGCCAGAAGGACACAAGTATCCACCAAAGAAGTCAGTCTAAAGGTGAATTTCAATCTCTCCTATAACTCCACTGCTGCAGAGCTCCAAACAACGTGTTTCAGAAGCTCTAATCAAGACAAATCAAGCAGCACCACACAACGCACATTTTGTTCCCCATCAGGGCCTAAATTTTCATGAAGGTACTATCTGGAATGTGGGCTCAAACTGTAGTCCACATGAAACCATTTACATATAATACTGTGGACCTCTCCCCGTTGCTGTCGTGAAAGTTTCAGGTCCCAGAAATTTGTGTCTTCTAAAAAAACCTGTTACTTGCTTTTTTAACAACCCCGGACATTTAATACCTCTGGATCTTCATGAGTTGGGAGTGCAGAAAGAAATACACATGAAAGTCACGAGACAAGCATCACCAAGAACAGCATTAGAAAACCGTACACAGAAGGAACTCATTGACAACACAGCAGCAACAAGGAACCAGAGCAGCAAAGTGTCACAAAGACTTAAAAAGATTTTCAATTTCCAAGGTCAGCAATGTAAGAAAGTTCACTACCTAAGTCTAAGACAGTATTTTTTAAATTCAACATGTGGAAAAAAAGAAAAAAAAAAAAAAAAGAAAAAATAATCACAGCAACTCCAGCCTTCAGTTAGCAGAGATATTTGTGGTGACACAACCACATACCAAAATCAAAAAACCCCAAATGCTTCTAGGTGTTCAGAGCAGACTGATTCAGTGCACTCCATATAACACCAGGACTCATCTTTGCCAAACTGCTCATCTGCACTTTCCTGCCTGCTCAACCAAATCCCACCTCTCCTAATAAAGTGCTGAGATTGCACCGTGAACCTTATGCCCACAGTCCCATGAAAAATCATAGAATGGTTTGGGTTGGAAGGGATCTTAAAGATCATCCAGTTCCAACCCCCTGCCATGGGGCAGGGACACCTCCCACCAGACCAGGTTGCTCAAAGCCTAATCTCTACCCTGAGCAACCCAGTTCATACGTGGAGCATCTCCCTTAGGAAAACAGTATTTCACATGTCAAATACTTTCCTGAGAAACACAGAGAGCATGTTTAACTTTTTCCATGGTACCCAAACCAGCTGGGAGATGTTTGTTCAGCAGCTACAAGCAACTGTAAGAGACCCTTCTTGGCAAGAGGGGTGAAAGCTCAGCAAGATGTTTGCAGGAAATTTAACAATCGTAGCTAGAATAATTACGACGAGAAGCAATAGTAAAGTTCCTTAGATAATTACGAACAATAGATGTGAGAGGTAACACCTACAAATGTGAAATACTAATGCAAGAACTACCAGAAGATTTATAGAAATACTTTTCCATGCTAATTTACTTATGTGACTTGAAGGAGAAACGTGAACTGCAGATTGAGGCAGAAAATAGCAGAATAGGGCAGAAAAAGCAGCTTTCAGGTCAACAGAAATCTGCAAAGCTCCTTCTGTATTAAAGCCTTACAACATAACAAAATAGAGCCAGAATTGGTGTTCCAAATGCAAGAATCATAGAATGGTTTGGGTTGGAAGGGGTCTTAAAGACCATGGAGTTCCAACCCCCTGCCATGGGCAGGGACACCTCCCACCAGACCAGGTTGCTCCAAGCTCCAACCAGCCTGGCCTTCAACCCCTCCAGGGATGGGGCAGCCACAGCTTCTCTGGGCAACCTCTTCCAGTGTCTCACCACCCTCTGATACCAGATCAATTCAAATCCATCCTACACCTAAAAGAAAGGCTACAGAATATGGCTCCTCTGTGCTTCACACATTTATGAAAGCCTCTGCCCCAAGCCCTTAGTCATTGTCTAATTCCACACACATTAAATTCATAAGTTTTTGTCTCAAAGACCTCTGCAGTTCTGTTTTTGAGCAGTATCACGTTCCTATTCCTCTGACAAGTCATACTCCTAAGCTCAGAATTAATTTTTGGGGAAAATATATCCTTTCTCCTCCATCAACAGAAACAATTACTATATACTGGACACACACTGAAGAGAGAAGCTTCACAAAAGGCAGCGTGAAGCTGGGAAATCTGACTACTACTCAGGAGGACACAAAAGGAAGGAAAGAGGCACTCAGAGCTTGAGTTTATGGGCCTGAACAGGTAAAATATTATTGTGCTTCATAAAACCAAACTTCAACAGAACTTACCTAATCATACACTGTGAACACCACAATACTTTTAATCAATTTTTTCCCAACTCAAGCCTAGGTTTTTATCTTCCCCTTTTTCCTCAAACAATTGTTCGTTAGCAGCAGACCGCAGTAATGCTAAATAACTGTTGAATGCCGTTCCTGGAGGATATGGTATTATTCCCTTTTTATGTATAATTACTTCCTGTGAAGCTTCTCCTGCCAGTTTTCATCTTCAGAATTGTCTCCTATTTGAGTTCACTGTTATGTTTCTGATGCAGAAATGTTCAGAGGGTTTCAGTTCGGAGGACAGCATTGCACAGGTACATATAGACACAGAGCTTGTAATAGGTAAAATCATATACCTTTTTCAAGTTAATGGGCTAATTTTATTCTAATATGCACAATTAGCTGCAATTTCCAGTCTTTATTACCCATCTGTCTATAAATGTCACCGAAATGGATCTTGAAAAAAAATTAGAGTCATTCCCTACCATCTTCGTAAAAGGAAATCTGGAATCCATTTCATTTATTGCATGTAAAATTTGCATAATTTGATGTTTGTTATAAACTTTAGCTTCCCAAGCTAACCATCCAAGAGGGGAACTAAATTGTTCCCTTATGCAACATCATGTGTTTGCAATCTAAGTCAAGCCTACCTCCCCACAGGAAATGCTCTAGTCAGAGTCCTACAGCACCCTGTCACCATGGCATTGTACAAATGAAATTTAGAGAAAAGAAAGAGTAAAAGTGCACACACCCTGTTACATAGACCCTGATCACACTGAGGAACCCAAACAGTGTAGTTGTTCAAAACTAGACTTCAATCATGGAATGGTTCAGGTTGGAAGGGACCTCAGAGATCATCCAGTTCCAACCCCCCTGCCCTGGGCAGGGACACCTCCCACCAGACCAGGTTGCTCCAAGGCCCATCCAGCCTGGCCTTGAACCTCTCCAGGGATGGGGCAGCCACAGCTTCTCTGGGCAACCTCTTCCAGTGTCTCACCACCCTCACAAGAAAGAATTTCTTCCTGAGATCTCATCTAAATCTCCCCTCTTTCAGTTCAGAACCATTACCCCTCATTCTATGGCTCCACTCCCTGATCAAGAGTCCCTCCCCATCTCTCCTGTAGCCCCTTCAGGTACTGGAAAGGGCTCTAAGGTCTCCCTGGAGCCTTCTCGTCTCCAGGCTGAACAACCCCAACTCTCTCAGCCTGTTCTCACAGCAGAGGTGCTCCAGCCCCTCAGATCATCTTTGTGGCCCTGCTCTGGACCCATTCCAACAGGCATCCAGCTCCTCTTTTGCTGTCCCTTCTGCTGTCTCTCACTTTAGTCCTTTTCCTTCTGGTTCAGTGCCTCACTTAAAGGCAGACGAGCCCAGCGTTGCCCTTTCTCAATCTGCTTTTTGCACCCCCCTTGGACAGCCAGCTTACCTGAGGGAAGATCCTACAGCCTGTGTCAGTCTTTCCAGCCTTTATCTCTCCTGGCTTTACAGCCCTGAGCTCAGCAAATCTGTCTCACCTGGCCGCCACTTCACCTTTCCTCCCTGCTCAGACCGTGATCATCTCCTGGCTGTGCTGGCAGAAAAAAGGATCAGTGATGCCTCAACCCCACCTAAAAGCGGGGATGTTCCACTAGGCCGCGGAAACGGCTTGACAATGAATTAACGGGTGAACTTCAAGAGCTGTAATTAAAGCTGAAGTTCATGTTGGCTTCTCTAAGCCAACCTTCCGCCGGTAACCACGCCGAGGGATATTCAGCACAGAATTTTTTTAACTAATCTTCCGTAAAAAAAAAATAAATGTTTTTTTCTCTTATAAACCCTTCTGACACGCAAGTCCTCTGAGAACATCCTACAATGATTCATGTGCAAGGGTCACTGATTCCCAGTTTCTGGGGCGCTTCTGACTGTGGAAATGTCAGATAAAGTTCTGTCCCCAACTGCTAGAGAACAGAATAAACCAGAAGGAATTCACTGACAGAAAAAAAATAAGTAACTTTTATTAATGTGATGTTTTGCCAATGACCACTGTCAAATGGGAGAGAAATTTGTACTATAATGTGATCTTTAAAATATTATTTTCATAGAATCATAGAGTGGTTAGGGTTGGAAGGGACCTCAAAGATCATCCAGTTCCACCCCCCCTGCCCTGGGCAGGGACACCTCCCACCAGACCAGGTTGCTCAAAGCCCCATCCAGCCTGGCCTTGAACCCCTCCAGGGATGGGGCAGCCACAGCTTCTCTGGGCAACCTCTTCCAGTGTCTCACCACCCTCATAGTAAAAAATTTCTTCCTGAGATCTAATCTGAATCTTCTTTCTTCCATATTTTGATGCTTATGCATTGTAAGTATTAAGAATTTAATGGATCTAGCCAACCGGAAAGTCAAACACACTCTGAAAAACTAAGATTAATAACACATGTCCTTAAACAAAGAGTTAAGTCAGATGCAGGATTACCATCTTTTGTTCCCAAGGCCAGAAACTAAATGAGCCACGTGTCCTTGTCAGGATCATCACTGCGATAAAAAAAGGTCAATCTTCAAGCAGGATTAGTGGAGATAAAACACGTGCGGATATAAGTCTTAAAATGGTTTTCTCAAGAATCAGGGACTGAGACCCTGCAAAGGGAAAAACCAGAAATTCCTCTTTGCTAGGATTGTTGAAGAGTGATGACAGACACATTGGAAGATATATTTATAGAATCAAGTAAAGATTACCCTAATCATCCTTTAAAGGTCTGAATGCACATGTATGTAATGTAATGTGGATTGTGGGAGAGCTGGGACCCTTTAGCCTGGAGAAGAGAAGGCTGAGGGGAGACCTTATTAATGCTGACAAGTATCTCAAGGGTGGGTTGAAGGATGGTGGAGCCAGATTCTTTTCAGTGGTTCCCAGTGACAGGACAAGGGGCAATGGGCACAATCTGGAACATGGGAAGTTCCATTCAGATATGAGGAAAATCTTCTTTCCAGTGAGGGTGGCAGAGCCCTGGAACAGGCTGCCCAGGGAGGGTGTGGAGTCCCCTTCTCTGGAGATCTTCAAGCCCCACCTGGATGCATCCTGAGTGATGTGCTCTGGGCAGCCCTGCTTTGGCAGGGGAGTTGGACTGGATGATTTCTAGAGGTCCCTCCCAACTCTGACAATTCCCTGATTCCGTAAATGTAATACACATTAGCAAATGGTCAGGGGAATAAAAAACTGGAAGAACAGCTGCTAAGCAACTCCTATATGTCCTCCCACGTGAAAAGGCAAGTCTAAGAGAATAAAGCTAAAAACCCCCAAATCCGTACAAGTTGCTAGTCATGGAAAACATGAGTTGCACAGAGGAAAACCCCAAAGATTTCATCTTTCAGAATGCTGGGATGGCATTTCAAAAGCAGTGAAGGAACTAAAAAAATCCTTCCTTCTCGATAGGGAGATTAGCTGAAATAGAACACATGTCCCCGTGTGCCTCCTACATTTTCTGAAGAAAGTTCCAAAATTAGACGTGAATATACCAAGGTAAAAGGGCCATTTTTGTAGAAGCCTTTTTATTTTTTTAAATTAGGTAGCATAACAGGATCCTCAAGAACCAGCAGGCACCGACAGTCCCAACACACACGTGCTGTGTGTGTCCAGACAACAAAAATGACAGCACTCATCTTTCCTGCTCTCTAAACTCTCATTAAAGGGAGGCAGACACCCAAGAGTGGCAGGTAAAATAAGGTGACCAAATTACCATTGCCAGCTGCAAGCAAATCCTCAAGAGCACAGAGCACATAGTGACCCATTATAGCACAGTGAAAGCCACATCTATCACACCACGGTGGAACCTGGAAAAAATATTAATGCTCGAGAGTAAACTAAAGGGGGCAAAAAATAGGTCTTAAATCAACTCTCCTGTAGTATCAGAATACTGCCCAATAAAGAAACATAATCATTATTAAACTAGTACTCCACGTGATCTCAACAGAAGGGTTGAAAAAAACTTAATTTTCATGAAAAGACCAATAGTGTGACCTCAGCCTTTCAGGTTGCTGAAAGTATAAAATGAAATTGTTACAGATTATTACCAGCTCTACACTTACAGAACTGAACACTGTCTTTTTTTTTTTTTTTGGCCGAAGGGAATAATTTGAGGCATGACTGAAATTCTCAACTTCTGCTTAAAAAGAAGCCTTTGCTAAACTTGACAGATCCTCGGAATCAAAAGGAGAGGAATTAAGTTTAAATCCAACTTAATTCTAAAAAAAACCCTAAAATAAATTCCTTCCTTCAGTTGCTTTACTGTTGCATGACTGATGCCCAGGTTTTAACAAAATCCAACTCTAATTTTCACCGAGGCACATTTATGTAAGGACATTATACAACTTGATGTTGAAGATAGACAGCTTAGGCATTTCTTTGCTGCAGTTAACATGACATGAGTGACTGATTATCCAGGTTCTGCACTAAGAACAACAAAAAAAAAGTAAAAAATGAAGCTCGCATACCATTGTAAAAATCATTGCTTTGCTGTACTGGAAAAACAAATCTCAAGAGACAGCTCCTAAATCAGGAGGTTGGAAGACAAATATACAGATGAAAGTACAACGCGACTTTCAATTTTCTTGTTAGTTCAAAATAATTCTTCATGCAAGAACACACAACAGAGTCATACATCACAGGGACGTGCAGAACTCTCCCGTTTAGGAATGAAGGATTCCACGTCAGCCCAAAAGCACCCCACAGTTTGATGTTGCTTTGAAAATATGTCACACAAAATGACACATTTCTCAACAGAAGCCACGTCCTTCCAGTAACAGATACTAATTTATCAATAGCTGGGAAGATCAGAGTTCAGGAAAACTTAAGAAAAGCATCTCTCTCTGCACTTGAGCAAAGCATTGTTACTACACAAGGATTGACCCTGAAAAAAAGAAAAAATTCAAGATATAGAAGCGTCTTGCTATGAAAAATTAATTAAATGGGCCAGTAACTTCCATTTGCTCTGAAACTAAGCCTAATATATACCACCAACCTCAACTCCAGCAGCAGCTTTTTAGGGATTGGCAAACATCCTGTCGTGTTATCCCCTTGAACAAGCCAAAACCAGAGCTTTCTTTTCCCCCTCCAAACTAACCCTAGTGATTCATGCACAGCTAGGACCATGTTATAAGGTGCTGTAAAGCAGGAAGGATGTCAATGCCACTAAGACCTAGACACCAATAAATCATGGCTCTCCAGATGAGAAAAAGAAACATAACTCTGGCTGGAGTTATAGTACAGTTCTATAAACCTACAGAAGCTAGAAAATGGAAATAAATAACTTCTGTTTCACAAGCCACAGGAACAATACAGCATCTAAAAAAAATCAGGGTGAAGGTGTAAAAATAAGAGGAAATACTTGTGCTCCCCAACCTCCCAGTTGCCCCAGAATTTTATGGCAGCCAAACATAGAAATAGTTTTCAGAAAGCCACCAATTTGGCGTCAGGTAATTGTATAATTCTCCCCCCACCACACTCAGTGCACTGCCCGTCACCAGTCACTTAAGTAGCCTTCACCTTTCCTCTTCACTCAAATAGTGTTGTACACCCTCATGCACAGGTGACATTTTATAAGACACCAAGCACATCTATTTGACACCTACTGAAGGTTTCACCTGACAAAAACCCAAACTTAGGTAGAAAAATTCAAACCACACATTGGCAACGTATTCTGAACCTGTATTTTATAGCAATAAAGAATGCTTTCAATGTATTAAGAAGTCTAATCTTAAGTGGTTAAAAAAATAATATCTAAAAGTTGAATTTACAAAATTCCATTTATATCAGTAAAGCTTCTTTGCATGATTTCAGAAATCAACCAACTTTTCATTCAGATTCACAAAGGCAAGTAATAGGTACGTGACAGCTACAGCAATGATGAATCCCAAAATGTGCTGAATTAAGATCTACTTCAAAGATGAAATAGTGTATCTAGAACAACATTATTGTATGCCCAGCACAATCGGTTTGCTGAATGCTCCTAAAAGCAAACTGGCAAAACCACTGCACGCAGATGACAGTCCATTAAAAAACCCAAAAAATAAAAACCCAAACCAGAGTAGGCCTTACCTAGCTGTTTTTCTCGTTCTTCTCTCCGTTCTCTCGCAAGCCGTTGCCTGTCATCAACCTTTAGTATTGCTGGATGATCTGCAAATGGAAGGAGGGGGAAAATATCAGGCATATAGTGTAAAATCAGAGTACCATAAAATGACCTTTAGGAGAATGACCATTAAATAACACCAGCTATTCTATTTTCAAATTAGATCACCTTTCCAGAAAACCGTCTTATGAAAAAAAGATGAAGCAGTTAAAAAAAAAAAAAGGATTTATTATAATTATCAAGATGTAAAACCACTCCCTAAGAATGGACCAAGCTGTAAGTCTGAATTCCCAGCTTCACGACTGCCCATGAAAACTCAGGAACAGGTTTTGTCTTGTTTCCAAACCTGTAACAACTTGATTGCTTCAGAGCATTCTGACAAAATACTTTCTATTATTCCACAACCTTTCTCCAAAATGCACTCGCAGGAAACTATTATAAGGGGCAGAACCCTCTTCCCACCAGTATTGCCTCAAAAACCTATTAAACTCTATTTCAGGAGACTGAAGCAGCTGGTTGAGCTTCTGAAGACAGCATGATATTGAGGTCGAGGGAGGTGATTCTGCCCATCTACTCTGCTTTGGTGAGACCCCATCTGGAGTACTGCATCCAGCTCTGGAGTCCTCAACACAGGAGGGACATGGACCTGTTGGAACAGGTCCAGAGGAGGCCACAAAAATCATCAGAGGGCTGGAGCACCTCTCCTATGAAGACAGGCTGAGAGGGTTGGGGTTGTTCAGCCTGGAGAAGAGAAGGCTCCGGGGAGACCTTCTAACAGCCTTCCAGTACCTGAAGGGGGCTACAGGAGAGATGGAGGGGGACTCTTGATCAGGGAATGTAGTAATAGGACGATGGGTAATCATTTCAAGCTGAAAGAGAGGAGATTTAGATTAGATACTAGAAATAAATTCTTCCCTGTGAGGGTGGTGAGACCCTGGAAGAGGTTGCCCAGAGAAGCTGTGGCTGCCCCATCCCTGGAGGGGTTCAAGGCCAGGCTGGATGGGGCTTGGAGCAACCTGGTCTAGTGGGAGGTGTCCCTGCCCATGGCAGGGGGTTGGAACTAGATGGTCTTTAAGGTCCCTTCCAACTCTGACCATTCTATGATTCTATGTTCTCCACAGATGTTTGTGTGGGATGTGTTAAACGCTCTGGCGAATGCAGTCCATCCCACAGACTGGTATAATACCAGTGAAGTGAGATGATAGTTTCCTCAACTATCCTTGTAAATTAAAAGTTATCCATATAATTACTTTAAAAATCTCTGCAACTGGCTGCTTGGATCTCAGCAATAACACTAAGAATAATATGAAAAATCTGCATCACACCCAGGCTTGACTATAAAAATTCAGGTTTGGCTGGAAAAACATCACATGCTCCACGAGTTCTCTGGAAAACAACAAAATGCTCAACAGCATCCTACTTCCAGCCTCAGTGGTGGAGCTGTTCCAGGCAAAAAGGGAACAAATTCCAAGCTCATCTCAGCACGCCGTCAACACTAATTTCCTACTCATCCTCAGCCTCTTCTGTTAAACCTGGAAAGCTGCTCATTTTAGGCTTTTTTAACAAGCACTGAAAAAAATCTGCTTTGAATAAAAACACAAGTAAACAAAAAAACCCCGCAGAAAAATCAAAAAGATTTCTGGCTATAAAGAAATGTTCTGGTTTATTTTAGATTGAGGGAAATTCAGCTTTTTAAAGTATTTTAAGATAAAGAGCTACCTAGAATACTGTCACCATGGAAGTGCACATAAAACAAGACAACAGATCCTTTTCACTATTCAGTGCGAATAAATGAGCAAGGAATTTGTCAAAACATGTAAAATCAATCTATTTGTGTATAGACTTCAAACCTACCAAAAAAGTCACTAGCAAAACAATACTATGGGTCATAAAAATGAGGTTAAAGATATTTGCAAAAATAAATCCCCGAAGTGAGAATGTGCTAGACAGGATTTGAGTAGTTATTTGAATTAGACAAAAAAAATCAGTAATGTGCATTTCATATTCTAACAGAAGTTTCTACATCAGGATGACAGAATTTCTTGGATGAAAGGGTGGTGAGACACTGGAAGAGGTTGCCCAGAGAAGCTGTGGCTGCCCCATCCCTGGAGGGGTTCAAGGCCAGGCTGGATGGGGCTTGGAGCAACCTGATCTGGTGGGAGGTGTCCCTGCCCATGGCAGGGAGGTTGGAACTGGATGGTCTTTAAGGTCCCTTCAAACCCAAACCATTCTATGATTCTATGAAAGAGTTCACTGACAACTAGCTTCAGTTTCATTATTCTTGAACTCTCGTCAGTAAAAAACTCTCATCTCAACAATGGTCAGAGACTACAGCCCCAATTAACGGCGGTAATAGTGATGCACAGGAAGAGCTGGAAGGAGAAAAACCATTGCAGAGCCTGTAGGAAGAATCAGAGAATCTTCTAGGTTGGAAGGGACCTTAAAGATCATCTTGTCCAACCGTCAACCTAACTGACAAAAATAGACACCCGCAAAGAAGGACGTTTGAACACGATAGCCCCAATGAAAGGTGCACCAAGTGAACAAGTCATCGGCAAAGACAAAGGTAGCCCACCACCCCATTACAGATCACACCATTAATGTTGGTTGAAGAGCACACAGTGATGCCATTTATAAAACTATGGCCTCACTGTAGATTTGTCCAATGTACAGTGTAGATTAACATCTGGCTGATCTTAAAGAGTGTGCTGACTTGCATGCAGACTCTTCAGCATGCAGACACGGGTCAAAAGGGTAATAATATTCTTTCTCTCTGGTGGCTGGCCCACGAGATCCACAAAACATGAATTTTTCTAGCATGAGTAATTAGCGCTGGTGGAATAACGCACACTCAATATATGAATTCCCCTGGAAAACAAGGATTCCCTTCAAGGCCTGTCAGCCAAGTCAATGTAACATCGAGTTGACAGAGAATGATGAGACACAGGGGAATAACGTAAAATTCTGCTTCTTTCAGAAAGTAGTATTCTCCTTCCAGCTTTTTTTCTTTTTTTTCCTTTATTGAGAGCAGAGATTTCCCTATGTGGGAGAAACAGCAATTCTTCAAAGAGGCAGGAGGGTTACACGGACAGGGAAGCTGAAAAGGTCTCCCTTAAGAATTCCTAATTATAAGCAATGGAAGGAATAAAATACATTTTTAAAGCTGCCCTCTGCCATTCTTTTTGAAGAGATCCAATTATTTTTTCTGTATCACACACCTGATAGTGTTCGCACACGCACACAGCCCCTTCTCCCAACCACCCCAGGATGTTAGAAGAATCCTGAAGAATTCCCATTAAGTTGCAGGCTATGCAGAGTGTAAGCCTGTCTTCAGTAACGAGCTCCTTCGCATACATTTGGGGGCACAAAGAGCTAAATCAAATATTGGCACAAAGACGGGGATAACACCTTTGTAGCACAACAGCATTGCCTTTGCTCTGCTAGAAGCTGGAGTCTTCGCTACCGGTGAAAATCTTACCCTGTTAATTAAAATGTCTTTTCTAAGCCTTAAAAAAGGATTCTTCATAGTTTGGCTACAAGCCCCACCTCCAACAAGGACGTTCTGAATCCAGTCGATCTGGTGACACCTCCAGTACACACCTTCAAATTGTGGCAAAACAAGAAAGTCCACTGGACCTGCTCCCTGTTTTATTTCTCGTGCCTCCTGGGGACCAGCATTTCTTCTGATTCAGTAGAAATACCACGACAAACACACACTGTACTTTGTGCTCCTTCTTGCTCATATTCATCATCAGGCGATAGCTTGAAGTTGATGCACAGGGAGATGGGAAACCTGTCATTTGTGACAAATCCTGTAAGAACTTGTCAGCTCTTACAGAAATAATTGCTAACTGGGAATATGCAAAGCCTTGCAGAGAACACTCCGGGAAGACACACGTCCCGCTGTAGAAGCTGCAGTTTGGGTATGATGTGTGTGAACATCTGACTACACTTACACAACACACCAAGTGTTTCATATTACAGAATCATAGAATGGTTTGGGTTGCAAGGGACCTTAAAGATCATTGAGTTCCAACCCCCCTGCCCTGGGCAGGGACACCTCCCACCAGACCAGGTTGCTCCAGCAATGAGTGTGAACATTTGACTACACTTACACAACATACCAAGTGTTTCATATTATAGAATCATAGAATGGTTTGGAAGGGACCTTAAAGACCATCCAGTTCCAACCCCCCTGCCCTGGGCAGGGACACCTCCCACCAGACCAGGTTGCTCCAAGCCCCATCCAGCCTGGCCTTGAACCCCTCCAGGGATGGGGCAGCCACAGCTTCTCTGGGCAACCTCTTCCAGTGTCTCACCACCCTCACAGCAAAGAATTTCTTCCTGAGACCTAATCTAAATCTTCCCTCTTTCAGTTCAAAACCGTTACTCCTTGTCCTGTCACTCGACTCCCTGATCAAGAGTCCCTCCCCATCTCTCCTGTAGCCCCTTTAGGGACTGGAAGGGGCTCTAAGGTCTCCCTGGAGCCTTCTCTTCTCCAGGCTGAACAACCCCAACTCTCTCAGCCTGTCCTCATTGCAGAGGGGCTCCAGCCCTCAGGGACTGGAAGGGGCTCTAAGGTCTCCCTGGAGCCTTCTCTTCTCCAGGCTGAACAACCCCAACTGTCTCAGCCTGTCCTCATTGCACAGGGGCTCCAGCCCTCCCATCATCTTTGTGGCCTCCTCTGGACTTGCTCCAAGAGATCCACGTCCTTCCTGTGCTGAGAACTCCAAAGCCAAACAAGATCTCCATAGCTGGGTATTATCACTGAGAGGAGATTAAATAAACTATACTTCTATAAAGGGGAAATTAATTTTGTACCTATTGCTGGTAATTAAGCCTCTCGACTACATATGAAAACCGTATTTTTCAGAAACTTACAACACTTATTGTGAGTTCAAAATTATTTTAAGAATTTATTAGTTCATTGAAAAGAGCTTAGAAGCCATGAACGGTATTTTGCAGAAATTCAGCACTGAGACGTGAGTCATTTTTGGTCCCTAATTATATTAAGAAAAGGAAAATGCAAGGTTTTCAATTCTTCTATATAATTAATACTCGCTGAATTCTTAAGCTCAATTGACATTTGTAGAAATTAAGTTGTAATGTTGCCAAATTAGTAATTGTGATATATACTTACTACATATGGCCACTTTCTGCGTCTCAGATAATTGTCAGCCGCACTCAGTGTGATTTCAAAAATCAAACTACTACTATTCTTCATTTCCATCCATAATCCTTTCAATCTCTTCTCACAAATGACTGTCTCCCTTCTGCCCTTGACTCCAAGGGTGCTAATTTCTGGTACTAAAGGGATGAAAGGGATAACTGAAAAGGATGTCCAGCAGAACAGTTTGTATATTAGTTCACAGGGATGCTGCTGGGAGAAAGAAATACGAGCCAGATACATTATTTGGATGTCAACCTCTCTTCCCTCTTCTTCTGTCCCTTTGCCCTGCCATGCAGGCATTTAGAGTTATCTTGGGCTCCTAATATTTGTTCAGCCTCTAGACACCTTCCAGACAACAATGACATGGTTTGTAGTGACAGTTGTCACCGCTACTGCAAAGTCTTTAGTTTGGTTTTTAACCAAAACACTGTTTGACACAAAATTCATAAGTAGTCTTAAGAATAAAAAAAAAAAACAAACAAAAAAACCCCAAACCAAAACACTACCATGGAAAACCCCAAACAAAAATCACAAAGCACCAACACTCGGGAGCTCTCTCTTCAGTGTGGACTCTTAGAAGAGCTAAACCCTGCTCATGTGCCTGTGCCCTCCCTCTCTCCAACCCCAGGAATTCTGCATTCCTTTCTAAAAACCAGCATGGAAGAAGGGAACACAGGAGCAGCTACGACAGGTGGCCAAGAAAGCCAATGGCATTCTGGCTTGTATCAAAAATAGTGTGACCAGCAGAAGTAGGGAGGTGATTATGCCCCTGTACTCAGCACTGGTGAGGCCACACCTCGAGTATTGTGTCCAGTTTTGGGCACCTCAATACAAGAGAGATCTCGAGGTGCTGGAGCGAGTGCAGAGGAGGGCAACGAAGCTGGTGAGGGGGCTGGAAAACAAATCGTATGAGGAGCGGCTGGGGGAGCTGGGACTGTTTAGTGTGAGGAAGAGGAGGCTGAGGGGAGACCTCATCACTCTCTACAACTTCGTGAAAGGACACTGTAGAGAGGTTGGTGCTGGTCTCTTCTCACAGGTAATTAGTGACAGAACGAGAGGGAATGGCTTCAAGCTCCAACAGGGTAGGTTTAGATTGAACATTAGGAAAGAATTTTTCACCGAAAGAGTGATAGGGCATTGGAACAGGCTGCCCAGGGAGGGGGTGGAGTCACCATCCCTGGCTGTGTTTAAGGGACGTTTAGATGCAGTGCTAAGGGACATGGTGTAGGGCAGGACTTTGTAGAGTAGGGTAGATGGTTGGACTCGATGATCCCAAGGGTCTCTTCCAACCTAGACAATTCTATGATTCTATGACACCCTCCTGAGAAATGAAAACTGGGATTGAACGACTCCAGGATAAAGTGGATATTGAATGTTGTCCAACGCCAAGAGCTCCGTGGAAGCAAGTAATGTTATCTCCATTCTCTCCTCTTTTTCCCCACTGCCTTTCTGATTGAGAGCAGCCAGGAAGGCTGTGCTGGACCCAGCGTTGCCCAGAGCATGTGAGGTGAGATCTGAACACAGACAGCACAGGGTTTGCTTCCCTCTGGGGACATCGGCCAAAGGTACCCAGGTTTGGGGACAGAGAAGAGCCTGTCGGTACAAAACAGCCTCTGAGCTGCCATGGTGAAAAGGATATTTAAGTGCTTTTCTGGATCTTGGTCTAAGCATGCAAGGGGAAGAGACTCTCGGCATCAAGGACTACTTTAAGGATTTTAGCAAATGGATTTTCAACTGTGTAAGTGATCTGTGAATTAAATCCACACAACGTACCAATTGGGTATGATGAAGTAATGACAAACATCTGCCCACCGCATAGATACATTACAGAACATGGCCTGCTTTGGGATAAGTGAGGAAATGACTGAACAGAAGCATGTTTCTATGACTCTGTAAATCCTTGCCTGCAGCAGATAATTCTCAGGCAAGCCCACATGCAATAGAGGGGCTTCTGTTGCCTTATCTCACTTCCCAACCCTCATTCCTAAACTATACTAAAAGTAAATTTATTTTTTTCAGTTCCGCTTCTTTGCAAACCACCAGAGATTCCAGCCTAATTAAATATGAACAGTCACTGATACCAGTTTTGACTGAAACAGTGAGAGAGGTATAAAAGCATCAAACATTTTAAAAGTTCCTAAGATGACAACTGTTTTTCGTGGACCATTGAGGCAGACATGAAGCTTATAACATGAAGCATGTGGGATGGCTTACCTGGTTTCGTTCCGGTGTTGCTTTGTCCTGAAGTGACTTTCTTGTCTTGTGTTTTAGACCCTTCAGCTGCTAGAATAAAGAAGAAAGGAAAGAGATTAATTAACCACATTACTAAACATCAGCTCAACCACTCTTATTATTATAATGCAACTTAAACATCACCGAATTGCCTTTAAAATCAGACCGCTCTGAAATGCCGCTTTAATACAATTCAACACCATTTTGCATAGAAAAAACCCTGAAGGTTACACAGAAAACACTGAAGCCACAATACCAGTTTCCCATCCAAGTTGAGGAAAGAACCGCAAGAAGATTCCATTTTAACAATGTTGGTTTTAATAAGGTGTATGTTGTTTTTTTTCCATGCTATGCTAATGCTATACAGGCAGCTAGTTTTCCTAGTGATGCTTTAGAAACCACCACTTCAAAAAGAAGAGCAGCCTCTAATTTTTTTTAATTTTTTTACATTTAATTTCCCTTGGAGGAAGCTGACTCAATCACACTGATAATAGCAAGTTAGTGGGAATGACAGAATTAAAAGGCAGATGAAGAAGCCAACATTCAAACCCGTTGCAATATCTGGATGCAATGAGGAAACCGTTGCTAAAGGTGACTTGCAGGTCCTTGGTTTCTGAAGGTAAGGTACAAGATACTGGTAAAAGCTTCATGGACTCTTTAGAAATTATTAACAGAATTATTATACAGAACTGAAGAGAGAATGATTTACGACCTGAATGAAATCTAACAGAGGAGATATTCCCATTATTTTCAATAGATTTTTGATCAGGTCCTGTCAGTCCAGAAAGATTCTGTCGCCCTGAATGCCCCTTTCAATAACCTTTTATAAAGAATCACAGAATCACATGGGGTTGGACTGGTCCTGTCAGTCCAGAAAGATTCTGTTGCTCTGAATGCCCCTTTCAATAACCCTTTATAAAGAATCACAGAATGATATGGAGTTGGAAGGGACCTCTGGAGATCATCTAGTCCAACCTCCTGCCAAAGCAGGTCCACCCAGAGCAGGTTGCACAGGAACGTGTCCAGGTGGGTTTTGAATGTCTCCAGAGAGGGAGACTCCACCACCTCTCTGGGCAGCCTGTTCTAGGGCTCCGCCACCCTCAAAGGAAAGAAGAAAAACCAAAAGATTCATTATTATATTTCAAAATACAACCATATCTATGGCTCAGCATCTATTTATAATTAAAAGCCACGCCAGGAAATTGGATGCCACCATCTTCTCAATTTACTAATCCTCATGTCCAGCAGTTCCACTACAGCAGTGTTTTAAGTCCAGAACACAGCAATCTGGGAAGACTCTGAAGACAGACTATGAATTCTAAGAGACCTTCCACAAATAGCTTGAAAGTATTTGTGAGCAAGGATGAAGAGGCAGTTATATCAATAAAACTTAGGGGAGGAAAAAAACAAACGACCCCACCATTCATTTAAATTAATACATCACTAGAAATGAAAATTGGAAAAAATTACTCCAGCTTTAAAGCGAAACAGGCATTACTGTATTAGATCCACTTCAGAAAACATAATTTAAAAAGTTTTCTTCAGAAGGCTCCAAGCAATTTCTTATGCTTGTCAGCTCCAACAATGTACACTCAGGACTTAATGTCTCAGTGAGTTCATTCCCTTCACTGCCTGACAAAAGTCTTCTCCTTCCATAAGCACATTTCAGGATGAACATAAAAAATAAAAGGCAGCAGGAGGAGCCTATGGGACATTTACTGCACCCTTTTTGCAGGTGAGGGAAACAGAAAAATAGCACTGATCAAATGTTTAGCATTCACACGTAATGTTTTGCTGAGAGCCTCATTCAAAAATCACATCATCTCAGAAAAAAAAAGAGTTCATTCCCTTCACTGCCTGACAAAAGTCTTCTCCTTCCAGAGGCACGTTTCAGGATGAACATAAAGGATAAAAGGCAGCAGGAGGAGCCTATGGGACACCTAATACACCCTTTTTGCAGGTGAGGGAAACAGAAAAATAGCACTGATCAAATGTTTAGCATTCACACGTAATGTTTTGCTGAGAGCCTCATTCAAAAATCACATCATCTCAGAAAAAAAAATTAAAAAAAAATAACCATGTGTGACATTTTAAATAATTGTCAAAAAAGACACTCCCCTCCCTGACAAGTGTATTGATCAGTCCTGGGATGAATAGAAATAACTATTGTTGAACCTAACGAATACGGATTCCAAATCACAATATGAATTGTTACACCTTAAAGGCAGCCCAATAAAAGATTTTAGTCTTTTGCCATTTTAAAGGCCTCATACAAAGGATTAGTTTAACCTAGAGGAAGATGGACTCATTTTTGGCAAGATAATCTGAGCAATGCTGAACACTTGCTCCTCCAGGATTTGTAGAATCTGTCGTTATCAGTCTTCCAAACAGGTGAAACTAAGCCTGGAAAAAAGTGTTTTATTCATCAGAGTAAATGCATTTAAACTCTTTCTTTATATCTTACTACTACCTAAACCTGGGGGGAGCTGGGAAGCAGGTAAAATAAACTTTCCTCCTGAATCAGCCATTTAGAACATCCTCAGAAATAAGCCCCGTGATAATGGGGAACTTACACCATGATTCCCATCAGCCTGGCCTAGGGCATCGTCTAGAAGAGGAAACTGTTATAAAGGAATAATAAATATTGTTTCTGAGCATTAATGAGAGCTCTGATGTTCTAATAGCTCCAGCACAAGTTTCTTTGCATATCTCATACAGTGCACGTGCATTATTTTCCTCATGCATTGAGTCATGGAATTATGCAACGGGTTTAAATGCCATCCAGATAATACCCTTGTAACGGAGCCCAGGTACACAGAGTAATATTTTCTTCCGTATTTCCTCATCTGACACTTCCTTGGAATATTTTGTTTGAGTACACATTCATGTCACCACCCATATAACAAGCAATGAAGAAAAGGAACAGATGGCACGACCATGAGTTGTAACCATGCTGGGTATCAAGTGAGAATTGGCACAAGTATTTAGTAACTAGTGTAGGTGTGTGCCCACACAAAATACCTCTTGCTCTAAGATACAAACAGATTAATCAGACAACTAAACATCTAAAATCCAAACCTAAATATTGACAACACCGGTTCCAGCAAGACTCAATAACCCAACACATGCCAGGAGAGACATCATTCAGCTACCTAATACTTGCTCTGCTGCTTATCTTGCACTGCTGTCTTTGCATGGAGGGAATAAAATTGCATAAAGAAGTGTTAGAAATAAAAGGATATATTTCTGTGAAGCATTCTGGAAAAAAAGGCTGAAGATAGCCTGGGTAATAGTGTAAATATATTGTGGAAGGTAATCACAGAATCAGAGCTATTGGGGCTTGAAGGGATCTCTGGAGATCATCTAGTCCATCCCCTCTGCTCAAAGTTGGGTTGCCTTGAGCAGGCTGTGCCCAGTTGGGTTTTCAGTATCTCTAAGGATGGTGACTCCACAACTGCTCTGAGCAGCCCGTGCCAGGCTTTGACCATTCTTCACAGAGGACAAGTTCTTCCTATGTCTGAACAGTATTTCCTGTATCGCAGTTTTGTGCCCATCATCTCCTGTCTTGTCACTTTGTGCTATGAAGAGGAGTCTGACTCTTTTATTTCACCCCATCAGCTATTTTCTGATACATGATTCTTCTGATGGTTTGGGCTTGGTTTTCTTTTTCCTTCTAGTGTTTTTGATGTTGATGAAACACTAAGTGATTTGCCCAGAGCTGCACAAGAGCCACCCTTCCCACCCATCCCAATTGAAGGAGAGATCTCCCAACCTTCCAGTGACCAGAAAAGCTGTAAGGAGCTGCTCCACCCCAGCTCCACTTTGCAAGGACCTGTTTCAGTCAATGATCTTCCAACAGCCATCCACAAATGAGCTCTCCAAACCAGGATGCTCTCATTAGTTATTCAATTTTTCTTTTTAACACAGCTCTTGGGGATTAAAATGTGAAACAATGCCTTGAACAATACAGTTTGCTTTGGCAATACAAGTTAAATAACTCATTTAAAATGGATTTTGTGTTGCCTAAATCATTAAGTCTATAATTGGCATCAAGTACCTAATTGAATCACAGAAAAAAATGGAAAAAATCCGAACTAAGTTACCATATCTTCATTTCCTAATAGTAAATAAAGAAATGTTTCCTCTTGTCCCATGGCCTGTGACTTGGGAGAAGAGACCAACTCCCCTGGTTACACCGTCTTTTTAGGGAGTTGGAGAGAGTGAGAAGGTCTCCCCTCAGCCTCCTTTTCTCCAGGCTGAACACCTGAACAGAAGACTTGTGCTCCATACTCCTCACCAGCTTTGCTGCCCTTCTCTGGACCAGCTCCAGCACCTCAATATCCTTCTTGTAGTGAGGGGCCCAAAACTGGACACAGCCCTCGAGTTGAGGCCTCACCAGTGCCCAGCACAGGTTGAACGATCACCTCCCAAGTCCTACTCACCACGCTGTTCCTGACACAGGCCAGGATGCTGTTGGCCTTCTTGGCCACCTGGGCACACTGCTGGCTCATTTTCAGCTGACTGTCCACCAACACCCCCAGGTCCTTTTCTGCTGGGCCTGGAGCGCTGCAGGGGGTTGGTGTGACCCAAGTGCAGGATCTGGGACTTGGCCTTGTTGAACTTCATCCCATTGGCCTCAGCCCATCCATCCAGATCCCTCTGCAAAGCCTTTCTACCCTCAAGTAGATCAATGCTCCTGCCCAACTGTGAACTCACTGAGGGTGTGCTTGATCCCGTCTTCCAGATTGTTCATAAAGATGTTAAAGAGAACTGGCCCCAATACCAAGCCCTGGGGAGCACCACACGTGACCAGCCACCAACTAGATTTAACTCCATTTACCACCACTCTCTGGGCCTGGCCTCCAGCCAGTTTTTAACCCAGCAAAGCATATGCCCATCCAAGCCATAGGCTGCCAGTTTCTCCAGGAGAACGCCGTGGGACATGGTGTTAAAGGCTTTACTAAAGTCCAGGTAAACAACATCCACAGCCTTTCCCTCATCCACTAAGCAGGTCACCTTGTCCCAGAAGGAGATCAGGTTAGTCAAGCAGG